GGAGCTGCTTCACTGCCTTGCTGTCATCATTTCTCTTTATGGACATCACATCACTGAGAATGATTTCTCCCTTCTCGTCAGCCTCCTACTGTGGCTTACAGTGCAGTTTCTCCTGACGTTGTAGTGTTTCTTCTTCTTGTTCATTTTCCAGACAAACAACACAGCATCATCAGTCTGTTTCTGTATTTATTTTCTGGGATAGACATTCAAGCTTGGTCTGCCTTGTTCCTGGAGGACTCTTGACAACTGGGAAACTGGTTGGTAGGGTCAACAGCAGGGAAGGAAAACAAGAGTTACAGAGCCAAGGAGACTTTTTCTTAAAACTTAGTCTGCTAAAAACTTTGTATCCTTTCAAGAGTTTTAAGATGTCAACAAGTGACAGACAAGTCCATGCATTCAGTCAAAGCATCAGCCCTTCTTTGGAAAAACTTACGAAAGGCAGAGTTCTGGCCTACTTGATGTTCTTCTAAAAGTCTGGTCTTTGAGTCAAGTTACAGCAAGTCTACAGAACACGGACTTTTTAAAAATTTTCAAATTTTTTTTGTTGAACACATGAAAATCTGTGCAAAATTCTTGAGCCGTAACAAGCTGATTGTATATCAGTATGTAGCATTTGATGAAGTGTGCTGATGTTTTTGTGAATGAAGTTATGAGTTAAGCTGAACTGAGAGTTCCTGTTCTCTCTTGCATGACATAGACTAAACTAGTTTGCAAAGAACCAGTAGTTAAACTGCGTTCAACTCTAGACAGGCCATTAAGTTTAAAACTACAGCTAGATAGTAAAATTAATAATAAAAAAAACCCCACACCAAGACACAAGAGCTGTAGTGTTGTTCTGTGGAGGTAGTGAAAATGAAACCACTCTAAAAATAAAGATGTGCATCTAAAAAGCAGATGTAAGATAAAAGGTGTTTATTAATATACAAGCAGATATTTTGCATTGTACACTGATTTAAGAGATTGTTCAGACTCTTAAATATTTCAAAATTAAGCTGTGATGCCTGCCTTTAAACTGTTTGCTGCCAGAGTTTTAAATATTTATTTCTGAACTGGAGTAGTGTGACATAAATCCATTCTTCTTGACGATTTCGCTATTCCTTGAATGACCTTGCATTAAAAATACCTATAATTTGGTTGTTAATATATATTACAGTCATCGGAACAATGTGGCTTGTATATGATAGTTCTGAACGCAGTAGCCAATATGTGCGTGTGCCACTTACCTCCTGGATTAGTTCAGAACTGCTCAAGTCAGTGTTAAAGGACTTGAAGCACTGTGGTTTATTTGGAGTTGTCTACTGAAGCAAGGCTGGACTAGAGCTGTGCTCCAAGAGAAGCAGAGCTGGTGGTTCAGCTCTGCTCTTAACATGGTATTTTGATGTGGCAGTGATGTGCAGCAAAGCCACTTGTGCCAGTTCAGGGGTTTGTTACTACTGCATGTCGTTCAGTAAATATGTAACCCTCTAAGTGATCATTTCCAGTCCCTGAAGCTTTCTTCTGAAACCAGGTCCAGGGCTGAGAGAGTCACTGGGATATGAGCAGAGTGTTTGTGTAACAGGAGGGGAGATTGGTGGGAGGGTTCATGGACTGAACTGATCCTGCTGTTTTCTGGGAGTTTAACCCTGAAATGTTCTAATTCAGCTTTATTTTTAGAGTGAGACAAAACTCTTGCACCCTCAAAAACACTTTCCACATTTCCTTAGTTATGTCATTTCCTCCTTTAAGTAGAAGCCACAGCAGACTGTAAAATAAACTTTCCTTTGTGCAAGTAGTAGTGCTCTCAAGCTGTAGGTTTCAGCTCTGATGCCAGCAGTTGGAGACCAACAGGAGAGGCTTTTTAATTGAAATAGAGAGGCTGAGCACAGGTGCTGCCTCTTGCTTCCATTTCCTTTTCTTCAGGTGAAAGAAAGTATCAGAAACCAAACCCTGCGGTTTTTTCTCAGCTCTGCTACTAACATTCTCCATGACCTTCAGCAAATCACTGCTCTGTAGTAGCTCCCAAAAAATGAGTTGAGGAAATAAAACTGCATTTCCAGATTGGCCTAGTAGTTAGGAATAATCCTAGGATTACTAAATTGAACGTGTCACCTTTCTTACAGGCCATTCCCCCCAACTTTAGCCTACTTCAAGTCATGTACCCAAATAAATGTTATTTCAGCTCTGCCTTGTATCTATGTAAATAGGAGTTAATAAGTTGCTGCATCTCGTGGCTGGCTTGTGACGTGGAGGTCTCCAGAGGGAGGATGAGGAGAAGCTGCCATGGAAAGTCCCTGGCTGTTGCTAGGCAGCACTGCGTTTTAGCTTCCCTATCCAAAAGTCTGTGCTCAGGTTTGGCAAGGAAAGGGAAAACCGAGGAATGGAAAGCCATATAAAGATGCTTGACTTTCTTTTTGTAGAGCACAGCTTTACTGTGCTGGGTGCAGAGAGCATGTGGCTGCAAGTGAAGTGGAAGCAATTTGATTGAATAGAATGACATTTGATAACTGTCCTTCTATTTGTTCATTCTCAGCTGCAGGATCATGTGGCTGGCTTGCGCCCTCTCCCTCCCTCTGTTTTGTCTCTTACGATGAGCTTGAACCCTTGCAGTGAAGCTGGAAGAGTGCAGCACAAGCTCTCTTGCTCCACTTCTAGTCTAAGTGGAAATAGGAGGACCCAGCAGCTCTGGAGGGCTGCCTCTGCTGAGGTTTATGCTTCAGTTTTGCTACCTGTGGCTGCGTGAATGTCGTGTTTTTTTATAGTACTAAGTCCATCAAAAAGCCCATCGTGACAGCATCACTAAAAGAACACCTCTGTTTTCTCTCAGAAGTGTAAGACTTGGGATACAGCTGAGTGCTTGAATTCCTTTTGGTAGAATCTGGCCAGTTGTCCATCCATCCACCCACAGGCTAGTTCACGTTTTTCAGTCAGTCTTTGTTGTTGCTTTGTAATTGCTGTTGCTGTTGTTCCTCCCTGTGCGTTTTAATAGGAGGCCAAGATAGTAAGTTTAAGGCCTTGCAACCTCTGCTGATTTGTAGTTGTGAAGTACTGTCTTTTCTTGTACCCCAGTCATCCCTGACTGACAGAGTTGGGTTTAAAGATACTTTTCATCTTTCAGTAGATGATCCCATGGTAATATTGAGGCACTGTGGAATTTGGTATCACAGCCTTGCTCCATCCTTGGACATTCAGCCAAGTACCACTATAAAGCTCAGCTTTACAGCAGCCTAGGGAAGCTGGGAGTCTTACCTGAAGTCACACAGCTTGTACTCAGTGGGATGTGGCAGAGTATGTCCCACTGTAACAGTGTTCTTACTATCAAGGATGGGGCTCAAAATCCAGAGTTCTGATTCTCATTACTCAACCCTACTTTGTCTCACACATTTTATCCCACCCTGTGGCTTATGGCATGAGCTATCTCGCTTACCTTCCTCATCCCCACCAGCCAACGTGTCACAGCAGTCTAGAAGAAAAGCTTACAGAGAGACCAAAACTTTTCAAGACCTCACAGTTCCTCACTTTGCCCTTCCCTGCACCCCTGGGGTTTGTTGGTTCCACCGAATTCTCTGTTCTCCTCAGTCTTTTTTCGCTGTGTGGTTGTGGGGAATCTTAAAGGTGGTAACCTCACAGTAAACACCAGCCTTATAGTAATTGCCTTGTAGCCTGTGTGGGAATGGAGCCCTGTGTTGTTTTATAGGATTTCCCAGAGAATTGGCTTGATTACTCAGACAACGCAAGCTTAGGTTAGTTCAGTTCAGTTGTTCCCTTTGTCTCCTTCTACCTGGTCTGTGCAAAGACTCATTGAGTCCTTGGTGCTGTGCTCGCATGGATGGAAAAAAGAATGTATGCATTTACCTGACCACTGTCTGTAGTTTTGGGACTTTTTTTTCCTGAGATTATTTTGAGGTGTGAGTTTTGTATGTTTTCTCGTTTGTTTCCAAGGGTCCCTTTACTGTGTTGCTTTTATCTTCTATGGGGAAAAGCAGGAAGACTACAAACAAAAGCAGAGAGGAAGTAGAAAGGTTTCACTCTTTACTATCCATATTGGTAAAATGGTGGGATCTTTCCACAGATCTTCTGTGTTAAGAACTTCATCTGAAAAACACTTCAGTTGCATTGTTAAAGCAGTGAGGGGAGGGTGGTTTCTCACACTTTACACAGCTTTCCAACTGGGAAAGGGTAAAAAACAGTCAGGAGCTAGGAATATCTATTATTTCTTTCAAAAGTCTGCTGGAGAAGCATCCTTCCATCACCAGGTTTTTCACTATAAAAAATGTAGTTGAAGTATTTTTTTCATGGAAAAACTCTTCTCTCTCTCGAAACCTTGTTTTTTCCACTTTGAGTCATTTGAAAGAAATTTTTGAGGGGAAAGAATGATTTTATTCACTTGCCAGCTTTCAAAGCACTGCCTCAGAACAGGGATAGAGCTGCAACTCACCTGTTGATTTCTGTAGTTATGCAGTGTAACTGCTCTTTTAAGTTATATCCTGTTTGCTAAGTTGTGCAGTTCATATGTTATGACAAGTTTAATGGCTCTTACAATATATGGCAAAAGGATTTAGGACTGTGGGCAGGTTTTTAATTCTAACTAAACCTTGTTTTTTAATTCTAAGTAAAGTTAATGAAAAATAGCTGTTCCACATGTTAAATAGACAATTTTTTTCTTCATATAAAAGGAAGATAAATTCACCTGCTTCAGGGCAAAGTCTAACCACTAATTGACACAAATTAGGAAGAAACTTCCTTTTGGGCGGTCGTTCCGTCTCTTTCTCTGTGGAATTTTGTGTACATTCTTTTAAAACGTGGAGTATCAGCCATTGCAGATTAGGTGAGACAGTCTCAGATTAGGTGGATTTCTTTCTTGCCACCACCGGTAATTCTTAGTCTTTCATAACTCACTTAGCCATCCATCCATCTATCTTGTTTGCTAATTAAATGCTGATGAAAAGGGAGTCCCTACACCCTCGCTCTTTCTGTTGCCTTGTGCTACTGCTACTAATCCATGAATTCTACTTGTCTTTCAGAAGATGCTGCTCAAGAAGCATTGTGGAACGAAGACTAGAGTTATTAAAATTCATGTAAGTTGCCCTTCTTTGGTGCAGTTTCTTCATCTTTCCACATATATCTAAACATGGTGATTGTCTTTGAACATCTATGCCCAGATTATTTCTGGAGGTTTTCTGTGGCTTGATCAACTGCATAACAAAAGCTGTTAGTCTCGAGTATGTGCTGTAGTTACAATTTAGGTTAGGTGAGGCTAATAACATCCAGGCTTTTCCATTTTGGAGATCATGGGTTCAAAGCTTTCTTGGAGTGAAACTTTACATCCCCTGCAGTGAGCTCCTACGGCTATGTATAGCTGTCCCATAAGGTGCCATTTGGATCTTTCTTGACCAGAGGAAGTGCTCATCTGAGGTAAAAAGTGATGCTTGGTGTGGGTGAGAGGTACTGGTAGATAGCTGCAGAAAAGGGTATGTAACTGTGTGGTGTCTGCAGAATGGATGTGGGACTGAATGATGGCAGATGAGAGCTAGATTGCTTGAATGGATTTGTCTCTGGCCTGACACTGCAATGTCTGAGCATCTCCCGTTCGTTAGCACACATATGCCTGGCAGGGCTAGGGTTGTCCAGCTCCCATTCTTGAGCACACAGGTGCCTAGCAGGGCTAGGTTTGCCCAGCTTCCCTGCTTGTAGTTTGTGCTGCCCTCAGCTCTGAACCTTCGTCTCTAGTACCCATCCCCTGACTCTTCAGCCTGTCTCCTTTGTAGGCACCTTGGCTTTGTTTTAGTCAGTGCCATATGGTGCTGCCGGAGATGTGTGCGTGGCTTTGAACCTTGCAGCCGGAACAAGTACCTCATTTCACGGAGCCTTGTAAAATCCCCCACATGTTTGTGATACACAGGTAAAAACAGGTCGTGGTGAAGCAAACAGATATCCTTTGTGATAAGATTGCTACTTTCACTGCAGTAATTATAGCCTTACAAGAGGGATGAATGGCAGACCAGAATCCTTCCTTCCCAGCAGGGCATGGGACTGATGCCTTTGTGTGGCCAGAAGTGCTACTGTTTCTGGACATGCTGTTGGGTACCCCTGCTTGTCACTGCTTTGTGGGTGAATTTGGTATTTGAGAGGAGGAGGAGCACGTAGGGATGGCTAGAGCCTCGTGCAGATCTGAACACAATTTCTCTAACTCCTCATAAGCTCTCTGCCAGGGCACTTCAATCCTGCCTATCTCTAGAGATGCCTGCCAGCCTCAACCATTCTGTGATTTCTGGCTCTTGCCCAGCACTTCATAATGGAGTCAGAATACACCAGGGACCTTAGCTCACTTGGGAGGGCTATTCTGAGGCCCTGCTAAATCTGGCCTTTTGCTAAGGATGATAGCAGGAGGCAAGGTGAGAGGCTTGTGTCACCAGACCCTTAGCAACAGAGAACCAAGTTTGGTGTTGGGACTTTGCCATTGTGGTGAGGGTGGAAGAAATGAAGACAGGTCTCTCTAGCAAATGGGTTGATGATCTGTTAAAGGAGGAAGCAGGCAGCTGTCTGCGTGTCTGAACAGGAAACATCACCAAGTGAACCAGTTTGTTTGTGTCACTGTAGCCCTGAGAAGCCCTGATGAACAAGTGTTCCCATTTCAGCATAGGTAAGGAGTGTGCAGCCCCTTTCTGAGCTGAGGTGGGCAGTGTACAACTGGATGGAGACTGAGTCAGTGAACCTTATCTGAGGCACGGGCAGGCTACCTCATGGTTTATGCCAGGGGTTTGAAGCAAGGAGACCTACTTTCTCCTTCCATTTCTCCTGTTGCTGAATAGCTTGAAGGAGAAGGGATTATGCTTACTCTCTCCTGTGAGATGCAGATGGTGATGATAACCTGCTAGTAGCATCAGTGGAGCATTTTTATACTGTTCTTGCTGAGGACAGTCTCACGGTTGTGAGATAATGCGTGCTTTTAGAAATACCCTCCTCCTGACTGATATTTTGATTGCCTTGATATCTTGGGGCTTTGCTGGTGTGTCAGGATGCAAGGTGCTGCTCTCTCATGCATTATCTCCGCTATGCTTTTCCTCCTTCTTCTGCTGGAAGAGACTCCCATGGGAAGGTGAGATGCAGGGGCAGCGTCTTTGCCCTCTGGCACTGAAACACAATTTCAGCCCTTAGAAATGTCCTTGGGAGTCTTTCTCAAGCAGGTGACCTAGGCTGGGTTTTGCTTCTCCGCATGTTGTTTTAATGCTTAGGTGCCACCTTGTCGTTGTTCCCTGTACTTCACCTTCTTATGGGTCAACTCAGGTGATGTTAGACCACAGCCTTTCCACTTGCTCAGCAGTTATGTGAGATGATGGGACAGTAATGTGACAAGCCATAAGAACCTAGACAGATTAAGGCAGAGAGATTTAATAAACTTCTGAAGTGTGCAGCAGCTTGGTAGTGTTTGAAATGTTTTAGGAATAGCAGCTGTGAGAGGTCAGGGCCTACAGTGAAGAGAAAATAATATTTTAAAATCTCCCTTTTGTACTCATGGATAATGGAAGAGGAGAATCTGCCCCCACAGGCAGGCAAGCAGAGATAAATTTGAGGTGGCAGCGTGTGTATGAAGTATGGATTTGTGCATAATAGATTCATGTAGCACAGCACGTGTCATTGCAAGAAGAGCAGTAGATGTGGGCCTACATGGGTATTGCGTGTTGCTGGACAATGTGTGTATGCAGACCTGGTCACTGGTGTCCCAAAGTATCAGCCAGTGTAATGTCTGTAACTGGAAGCAAGGTGCTAAGCATGGGTGAGAGGGGTTGCACATGTGTGTGGGTATTTTAGCATCCACATCATGTTTGTGTAGTGCGGATGAGTGTTGCGTGGAGACGCTTCCTTTGCACTCGAGGGAGTATAAGTACAGGAGCATGAGCTTGAGGGGTGTAACTGCCTCTGCCCTGGACCAGGCTTGGTCAGATGTATCCAGCTCTGAATGCAGAGACCCATCTTCCAGAGTCTTTCTATAATACCATATGTCTTCAGTCTGTCTTGGGATGAGGGTTACAAGTCTGCCATCTAGTTCTGTTCTTTTTCTTCTTTCATGAACTCCTACACAGAGTCTCTGGGTGGGATTGGTGGAGCTGGGCTTATCTGAGCAGTAGGTGGGTAGAGGACACAACTGGCAAGCCCCTAGGTGTCTTGGGAGCTCTTGTCAGGGCAGGCAGAGAAGGAGTAAGGATTTCAAGGCCAATCTGATAACCTGACTGATCAGAGAGATGTTTTCTGCTATGTAAAAATAAAATAAGAATTTTAAATCGGAACATAAACGTCTTGTGCTCTTGCATTGATCTTATCAATGTTGAGAACGCCCTCTGTTTGGACAGGGGCCACATCCCTGGAATGACTTCCCTGTCTCTTATCTCTTGAATCTGCATCCTAAAAGGCCACTGCAGAAACATGCTGGGCTTTCTTCTAAAACAAGGGACCCTTTCAGCTTGGATCTGAGCAGGAGATATGCTGGCCTGAGCCTTATTGGCAGATACCCAAGGTGGAAGATTTTGTGTGTACACACGCACACGTATGCACGCACACGCACGCACACGCACACACGCTGCCCATTCCATCATAGGCTCCCAAGGTGCTTCCCAAACATTGCTGCATATAGCATCTCAGAGGCAGATAAATATCATGATTGCAATTTCAGAGTGAGTTAAACTGAGAAACCATCAGAGAATGTGACTTGCCTGAAGAGAGAGAGTGTGAGGAGAACTGAAGTCTGGGCTTTGATCTTCCAACCACAGTCCTTATTCATACCATATCATGCAGTCTGAACAGCTCTGAAATCTCAGGCAGCAGAGATCCTAAACTGCAGCTTGCTAACAGTTTGTCAGACCCTCCTGGTTGTCTTTAGGATGTGACTGAATGACTAAATCCAAACCTGCCCTTTAGAGGCAACAAGAGTTGCATCCTTGGGTTACTTGCTGGGTAGAAGGCCCTCATGGACTTTTTAGCACTCCAGTTCCCTAGGTGGGCTCTTGTCTCCTGTTGATGGGCACACCTCTGCTGAGCACCATGGAGAAGGTCCTCTGCTACGTGAGAGCACAAATATCTGCTTGCTGGGGAAACCAGCTCCCTATGCTCTTCCCAGCCCAGCCACCAAGCTGCCTGCTGAAGGTCTCTGCAGCGATTGCTGGCTCTGGAGATCCCCAGCCCTTGGTCTAAATAATTCCTGAGAAAAGATTTTGTCCAGAGTTTCTTCAGTGTGGGGAAGGATCCAGTGCAGCCAAGTGTTAAAAACTATCCCAAACATCTGGCTCCAAACATTGTTTTATTTAGCATTGCTTTTACTGGATTTCATGGTAAAGACTAACCAGTCTTCAGCTTGTCCATAGCAGCCAGAAGAGGGACTGTCGTGCCTCTCTTCTGCTTCCTTAGAGAAAAGAATTTTTATTGCTGCCTGCTTTTCATAAATTCCTGCCATGTATACCCTTGCATCCATTAAATCATGTAAGTGCTTGCAGAATAGATGTTGTGGAATAACCAAGAGCTCTGTAATCTAGGCAGCACCATGAAAGTAGCGAGTGGATGGTGAGTCAAGAGGCTGACATCCAGCGCCTTCAGTGCTGTCCTTGCTTTATGGTCTGATGTGGGTTGTGGGTCTGGGTTAAGAATTCGGGGTGGGGGGCAGGGAAGAGGAGGGGTAGAAAGGAGGTTAGGACTGAGGTGTGCAGCCCAGTGACCTGGTACAGCCCTGTGTGTTGATGATGGCTGTGGCTGGTTCAAGGGGCTGGGAAAGTGCCAAGGCATGTTTTACAGAGACTGGGACAGATTTGGTGCTTTTTGGATCACACCTCGGTGATGGAGTGGAGAGAGGGATAGGGGATGGCAGAGGGTCACAGCAGCTCTGCCACTGTCTTCTGGCAGAGCTTCAAAGTCCAAGATGGCAGATCAGGCATGTCTTTTACTGCTGCATCCAGGTCCACTGAAGTTGCTCCTTGTTCCCCTTTGTTCGCGTGGCTGTGGGAACCTGGCACCCGTTCCCTCTCCCAGTCCCTAGAGCTGTAATCCTCTTTTCCCACACACCTCTTCCATAATACACCCACTTCCTGCG